AAACTATTTGTGTGCGATTCTCTCTAACACACACGGCTATGCGTGCGCCCTGGCCGCAGCAGCCAGAAGTACCAAATTAATCGTGTTGAATTTTACAGTCATCAGCATGTGTTACCTATTGTAGCCTATTTGCAGAGCACAGAAGGCAAGGTTATCAGAAGCACTGAGTGTTTCAGCGCTGTGGTGCTGAAATTACCGCAAACTTTTTTTTTTTTAGCACAGTAACCCAGTAATCGCGGCAACCGCATTCCTCTCCGAAAAGCAAGAGACTAGATAAGAAAGAGGTCTAAAAATGATCAACACCATGTCCCGAATTATGGCCAACTTTAGCGGCAACAACCACACACAAATGGAATACCCACAACAAGCACATAGTGTGTATGTGTGTATGTGTGTATTACATTTGTGGCGCCTGCAGGTGCACGCTCAGACTGACCTGAGATTTGCCCCGCAAACATTTATTATAGGCCTATAGGCCTGTGTGTCCCGTATTTCTGTCGACTGAACCAGCCATGCCATTAATTATGAATTTATCAGTCTTCTGCACGCCAAAGTCAATTTCTGCGTATAAACATTACGCCAAATAGAAGCAGAAAATCGTACTTTCACGAGATCGGGTTAGCCTACAACAATTAATTTGTAGTCTATTTTACAAATGGGAATTCATGACAATGTTTTACATTCAAGCTACCCGTGAAATTTTAGTGTAACGTTCTTTAAAATCATCTGGAATGCAATAAAGTAATTTTTAAAGCTGTTTTTAAAGCATTTGCTTCATGGATTAAAAAAATAGGCCAATAAATAATTCCCATATCAGACAAAATTGCGATGCAGCAAATCCTTTACATGTTAAGGTATTCAGAGCAGAGCAACATAAAAATTCAGAAAAAATATAATCGGGCCTGTTTAAGGCTTTTCCTTATTTTTATAGTTTAGATGGTGATGAAAAAATGACTCGCCATCTCCTCACTGGACCTGCCTTTAGAGAGAAATGCATCTTTAAGGATTACATAGCCTAATGAAAGAGTTTTTGTTTTCGATTTGAATTATTTCGTTTTAAAGTAGTAATTGAAAGCTTTCTTCTATAGATATATTTATCATATCTGTGACTCAATTCGTGGAGTTTCGGTTCATCCTTGTGAAGCCTCCTGTTCAAGACCAGACGGCAAGCGCATCCTCTGTTTTCCTATTTATTTTATAAAGGCACAACGTTTTGTTGATATTGTGAATGCACACAAATAAAAGTAGACCCTTTACATTTCAGAATGTATTACTCTTACCTTTATGAGCAAAAATTACGGCGTATTTTAAGTTAATTCGATCAACTATCAAGAAGAAAATGCAAGTGATCGCGCTGGCGCCTCCATGTCCTGCAAAGTGCCTTCAGCTTCCACTCTTCACACAAACGATTGGATATGTGCCTAATAGCGCACATTTATATCGTTTAAACATTTAAACTAGCATTGTGATATAGTATGGAGCTAATATGACAAAACAATTTGAATTTGAATTGTGTTAAATTTGAATTATTGACAAGTGTTATTGAACAAAACTGAATATTATGTGGGATTTTAAATCGTTTTGAATTTGATTTTGATTTTAACTTTGATTTTTTTTTCTTGAATATTTAACATTTGAGTTTTATAGACATGTATTTTCAAACAACATATTTTTTTGTTCTGAATTCTTAGACTGCAAATATCCCGTTTTTAAAAATACAGCGAGAAGCATTTTGGCCAATTAGAGCTGCAGTAGTTTTCTGGCGCGAGCGTGCGGCTCAGAAGGTCGCCATTCTTCTGCCTGAGCATGAATCGCCCAGAGGTAAGTGATTTTTAAGCATTTATGGTTTATATTTAGATATTATGCTAGCGTTGCCAGCATGTGAAACATTTGTTTAAGCGGTCTGTGGTGTTTGTTTTAAAGTATATTTGGTGTAAACGTGATTAGCATGCCACCGTGTCTACACTAGACGCGACTGCAACGCAACAGCTTGAAATGACAAAGCGGCCGTTGTAAAGAGCTTGGACTATGCCAGAAATAGAACGGGGAATCCGTTTGCTGTTGGACATTTTTTGCATTCAGTGTAGACACTATCACTGATTATAATCAAGGGGTTGTACTGTTTTCTGTCGCGGCACATCGTACCTCTCGCGTCCAGTCTAGACCAGGTGTAAGCGTCAGAACTCCAGAGCCGGATTAACGCACGGGCCTACTGGGCAGTACTCGGGGAACCAGGCCAGAGGGGGACCCAGCCGAAAAACCGCTCCTCCCGGAACGCGGTTTCAGCCGTGCCCCCTCAGATTTTTGAGCCAAGTGGATTTTGAATGCAGCTTCCCAAAGACAAAAAATAAGAAATAGCCAAATAGTTTTTATATTTAATATACGATCACACCAGTGTGATTGGAACATTCAGTGCTGCACGTCTGCCAAATTCAAATCTGCGTTTGCTGGATGGCGCTGAGCCAGAGACGGACGCGTTTTTACAGTTATGTGCATTCTAACAAATCACACACGATTCTGTTGTGCTTATGAATGAAATGATCAATCAGAGGCGTTCAGATGAGTCTTTGCTGAAACGCGCACGCTCGCTGCTCTCTGGCGAATTCTCTCATCATAAACGACAAAGTACAGATGTGCATACAATGTAAGAGATTCCTTTCACAGTGTCAACGGCTTCAGTGATTATAATTCGAGTTTTTGAGAGTGCTTGAACTCTGGCTAGACTGAAGTCAATGATAATGTTCTTTGATGATTGATTCTTTGCTCTCTTTCTGTACAATTTTTGTTTTGACTAATTCACATTAAATACAAAGTCAGTCCTGTTAAAAACTATTTTATGATGGTTAATTTGTGGTTACTATAGTTAAGTATAGTTTTTGTTTTTAACTTGTAAAACCATGGTTCATTTTTAAGGGTACGTTAAGCTTAACTGTCAAAAACGTATGTAAATGAAGTTTAAGCAAACAGCACAAAAAGGCTAATGGTGTAAAAACGTGTAACACTTTTCTGTTTTATTTTTTTGTTGTGTGTGTGAGTAAATGTGCATATTTTTCCCCTTCTCAAAAATAAAACAATTCTACATGAACGTGTGTGTGTAGATGAACTGCATCAAAATTGACCAACAAGTCCAAACAACACAGGATAAACTGTTGTACTGTAACTTAATTTATAGACATTGTGTCTGTATTACTGTATTCAATTTCACATAACTATACAAGCCAGTACACTTAAGGAGCTCATCCTTAAAATGGCTGAAATCCATGTAATGACTTGGTAATCGTAGCATGTTGAAGCCAGTGGAGGACTTCGGCATGTCAGCAGTAACAACTTCCACTACCATCTTTCTATCTGGCACTTCCCACCCCAGCCAAAATTTCACCAAGTCCTTAAGGTCAGAGCTGGATGCTAGATAAAGCGAAAAAAACAACATTTACATTTCAATCATGGGCAGTTCAAAGAAGAAAAAAAAGTTTCCTATTTGAGAAATAGAGTAGTGGAAGTATAATGGCAAAACACCACCCTCTGGTTCCCACAAGATTTTCCTATGGGCTTTTATGATGAGTTTCTTCAATTTATGAGTAAAATAAATTCTGTATTAAATATAACTCGACAATCCTTTGATTTTTTGTTCTGCAGTGTAAACACACATCCCAGATGTTAAAAGCATATACTTTCAAAAATGAACACAAATGCGTCACAACTCATGATTTGTGGGTGAGTGTGTGCAGTTTACATTGTAGAAAAAAA